ATTTGCTGATTCAGTCCTATGTTTCATCTAACCTGCTGTTGATTCCTTCTAGTGCATTCTTCTTTTCTGATATTGTATTCTTCATTTCTTACTGGTTCTTTTTTATATTTTCTATGCTTTTTAAATGCTTATTATCTCTTTGTTTAAGTTCTCACTGAGATCATCCATTCATCCTTTAAGGTCTTGAGCATCCTTATAACCATTATTTTAAATTCTGTATTTTTAAAATTCTTTTTCTGGTGATTTCTCTTGTTCCTTTTTGAGGGACATTTTTCTTTGTCTCCCCATTTTGTCTCTGTGTGTTGCATAGATCTGCTATGCCTCCCCAAGTTGTTTTGATAGTTTTATGATGAAGGTATCTTGTGGGCTCAATGGCACAATCTTCTACATTACCTGAGCTCCATCTCCAGGAGCATTTCTTGTGGGTATTTTCACTCCCTGTTGTAGTTCAGTCTTAAATGCTATTAATCTTTTTGTTGGTAGAGTTAACTAACCCTCAGGCTGGGAGAATATAATGTAAACCTTGATCACTATGTATGAGATGCTGTGTAGGGGCTGCTCCTTGGGCAGCATTGTTGCCAGCAGGTTCTGGTGCCTGCAGGAATCCCCCTTTGGTTGTGCCAGTTTAGTGGCTAGTTAGGTTGAACTCTGTTGTGGTTAGAAGCCCACCACTGTTTTATTGGTTCTGGGTCTACTTTGGTGGGGTTTAGTTACAGGTTGCTGTCATACATTGTGTGTAACCAGCCTTGAACTACCTATCTGTAGCTACCACACTATTCACTGTTTCTGTCTTTGTCTACTGGACCTGCATGGGGATGTGAGGGTCCAATCTGTGTGAAAGGGTCATCTTTTCCCTGCTTACAGCTGAAGGAATACCTGAAAGGGCCGAGGCTCTCTGAGGTCCGCCTCCACCTTTCAGCTACTTTGCCTCCTCCTGAGGTTGCCTGGTCTTCCTCTGAAGGCTTTCAATGAGTGACTGTAGGATAAGCTCAGACTAGTTGAATTAGGACTACAAGGTCCCCTACTAGGGGTCACAAAGTAAGTTGGGCACTCAATGAGAGGACACTAGCCCCTGCTTCAAAACCAAATCCCTCAGTCTCTGCCAGAGTATCCAACTCTAGTTCCCCCAGAGGGGTTTACTACAGATTCAGGCTATATACAACCAGCCTTCCCTTTTGCAGAAGCAAGCTCAGCCACCCTGGGCTCAAGAAAATAGATCAAAAGAGTCTCTCATTGGGGATGATGCCAGCTCAGCCTGCAGTAGGAGGCTAAGCTCTTTGTCCTGTTCCCAGACAATAGCCTTCAAGGGTTTCACAGTTTGAATGTCCCCATTCTGAGATGCTCTTTTTCCTCCTCCATAAAAGAGCATCTAGCAGGGTTATCCAAGACTTGGCAGAGCTGATCTAAACAGTTTCCCATTGGGGATGATGCTGACAAACCTGTAGGAGGCAGGTGGCACTTCTTTCTCTTCTTGGGGTAGTATAGGCAGAACTTGCAGGGGAGTTTGGATTTGTCTACTCACTATGTATCCATGCAGCCTAGAACTTACCTGTCTGGTGTCCAGACAGAAGCCTTCCTAGAAGACACAGTCTGAAAAACTTAGCTTTGCGTGGCTCCCCAGCTCACTGCCAAGCCAAGCAGGACTGGGTTGAAAATCCCAGCCCTGCACAGTACTGCACTCTGATCTCTCCACTCAGCAAAGGCTCTTGACCCAGCAGGTTGTGACCTAAAGTTGGAGTTCAGTGTGACATGTAGGATGAACTCAAAATCTTAGCCCTGCACAGCATCTCTGCACCTCTGAATTCAGCAGCAGGAGTGTCTCAACAGGTGTAAGGAGTGGCACTGACTGTGTGTTTGAAGTGGGGGAGGCCAGTTCTCATTTTCAAGTCACACAGTTAAATCACTGTTGGGGTCTTTGCTAACACCCAGCCCTGAAATAAAATGCCCCCTAAAGTCACTGCTGTGTGTAGTCAGCATACCCCTCCTCAGGACCCAAATAATCAGCAAGACCCTTCCAGCAGTTGGAATCTGACTGTGAACTCTCGTGGCTGGTGCTATAACAATAAGAGTGTTCTACCCTGGGAGAGTACACTGAGTCTCCCAGGCAGGATGAATCCCCACTGATTTCCACTTCCCATACACAGATCCTCTTCCTGTCTCTGTTGCTGTGGGTAGTGGATCCCTGTGTGGGGAAAGACCCCTTGCTCCTAGGGGTAGGGAATTTCACAGCCACAATATCTCTCCAGCTTCTTAGCCATTGCATCTACATGAGGGAGCTTCCCCCTGTGGTGTCTCAGCCCTTCTTACCAGACTCTATGTAGCATCTTCTGTCCTCCTTCAACATAATATTTCATATCAGCTAGATTTTAGTTGTTTGTTCCAGTGATTGCTCTGTAATGTAGCTGTAAATCTGGTTTAGAGCTGACAGCAAATGAATGCGGTTTCCATCTATTTTGCAGCTGTCTTGGAAAATTCCTTATAATTTTTAATATACCTTTGATTTCCCTTCCAAAATTTTTTATCTTGTCATCTAATTCTTGAACATCTTTAACTATGTTAAAGTTTGTGTTTGTTACCTTCAGTATCTGGATTTCTGTGGCTTTTTTTCTTGTCTATTTTTTTTCTCATATTTGGTCATTTTGTCTTGCACACATGTTGTTTTTGATTAAGTGGTAGAATTTTTGTACAAAATAATATTGAAGGGATACTTTAAAGCTCTGGGCAACTTTACAATTGTTCCAGAAATTATTTTTGTCTCTGAAAGGCGGTTGAGCTGTTGGATTCTTTATCCAATCAAGAATGCAATGATTGAAAGCTGGGCTTTAGTTTTTGACAGGCTGATACTTTTTCTGGTCACCTTTATGTCTAGGGTGTATATTTTTGGATACACACAAAAGTTTAGTGTGTTTAACAAGGGCTCTACTCTTTCTTGGGCCAGAATTCCATTTTTTTTCCCACCCAGCTCTGTGACAGTGGTGAACCCATTGCTTAGCTTATTTCACCTTCAGAATTAGCTATCATTTATATGAGAAACACCATCCTGGCACCAAACTAAAATCTCTTGATTTCTCTCCTCATTTGAAACTTCACCCTGCCAATTCTCACTGCTTTGGTAGCTCTGTTACCTTCAACCTAATATTTAAAAAATATTTTGTCAACCTTTCCATTTGTTCCATTGAAGTTAGGTCCAAGGTGACCCAGTCAACTCTTGTCAGGAACAGAACTCACTTTTGCTTTTTTAACCAATTAATTTGCCTAATATTTTTTATCATATTTGATATGTACAAAGAAATATGTATATAAGATTGGTATAAATTATTTTATAATAATACAATGAACACCCATGAACTGTTAGCTCCTGGTTTTTTAATTGATTCAAAAGTGGAAGGAGGAGAGAATAAGAGAGAGAGAGAAACATCAGTTTATTGTCCCATTTATTTATGCATTCATTGGTGGTTTTTTGTATGTACCCTGACTGGGAACTGAACCCATAACCTTGGTGTATCAGGACAGTGCTCTAACCAACTGAGCTACCTACCCAGGGTAGCTCCTGGTTTTATTACTTGCCAAACATTTTTCCTGTTTCTTTGCTGCCTTAGGTAATCACTGTGTTGCAGTTTGGATTTATTATTTCCTAACTAAAACAAAACACCACTTTATCACATACCAGGCTTATCTGGAAAAAGTCCAGATATTGTTAATATACTGAAAATGGTTTGTGCAGCACTGATATAACCTGGTAGCCAAGAAGAGTGGACTGGAATGCACATACATGAACAATGACGACTTCACTGTACTAGTCAGTGGGGACGGTAGATGCAGTTGAGTGAGCATGTGTACTGTGTGGCTGTTGCATTCAAAATGACTGACACTGAGAGAGTAATGAAAATTTTGCATTGAATTTGAACATTCCTCTGCGGAAACTATTTGAATGACTCAGAAGGCTGTGGCTATGGGTAACTGGCAGATTTATTGTGACAACACACCCGCTAATGCATCATGTCTCATGCAGAGATTTTTTGTGAAACATCAAATCACTCAGGTGACTTAGCCCACCTACAGCCCAGATTTTGCATCCTGTGACTTCTGGCTTTTCTCAAAACTAAAATCACCTTAGAAAGGGAAGAGATTTTAGACTGCCAATGAGATTCAATGAAGCATGATGGTGCAGCTGATGGCAATTGGGAGAACTGTGTGAGATCCCAAGGTGCCAATTTTAAAGAGGGTGGGGACTGAGGCATCATCGTCCTTTGTATAAAGTTTCTTGTAACTTCTTCAATAAATGTCTCTATTTTTCATATTACATGGCTGGATACATTCTGGACAGACCTTGTATATCTTTCTAAACAGCATACTTGCTTTGTTTTGCTTATTCCTAAGGTTTATCAGAGTTATACCATATATATTATGTTTTTTTTTTTAATTTTTAATTTTCAGAGAGAGGGGAAGGAAGGGAGAAAGAGAGGGAGAGAAACATCAATGTGTGGTTGCCTCTCACATGCCCCCTACCGGGGACCTGGAATGCAACCCAGGCATGTGCCCTGACTGAGAATCAAACTTGTGACCCTTTGGTTCACAGGCCAGCACTCAATCCACTGAGCCACACCAGCCAGGGCTATACCATATATATTTTGGGGTGACTTGCTTTTATCATTACACATTTGTTTCTTAGAATAATCCTTGTTATTAAATCGAACTTTAGTTCATTCATTCATTACTCTGTATTATATCATTGTGCAAAATAACTCATTATTTATTCTTTTAGTGAACATTTGGAATATTTTTATTTCTTTCCTCTTTTGAACAGTGCTCCTATAAATGTTGTTATAAAGCCATCCTGATAGCTATTAGCAAGAATTTCTCTAGGTTATATTTATACAAGTGAAATTGATGAATCATGGTAAATATATATATATCTTTTAATTTTACTGTCAAATTATTTTTCAAAATGGTTGTTAAAATGTATTTTCTTTTTTTTTCCTGGTTTAATAAGGATGTGTTTATTGTGAGAAAAAGGGTCCCAAACATCAGGCTGTTCACAAAAATAACCCACAGTATCAACTTTAGAAAACAAATCTTAAGACTATTACACTAATTATTTTCCTAGAGGATGCATTTGACATGCCAACTCTCATCCACAAAAATACATCGTTACATTTGTGTTGAAGAGCCCCATGTATGCTACATACATGAGGTTAACACATACACCTCTAACTCAAAGCTGCTCTCAAGGTGCTACTCAACCAATGAGATTGCCTTTGCAGGTAGGGAAGCAACTACTGAACTCATACGTGAATGAAAAGAACTGTACTCCCTGCATAACAAGAGATTATTTTGGAGACAGTTGATAAAAACCATACATCCTTTTTATTGTTAAGTCATAAAGAGGTATCAAAATTAAAAGCAAAAATTACAGGGTAAGACTTAACTACTAGGAGCATCAAAGGAAGTGAAAATGGGACTAGGCACAGGGCAATATGAATTAATGAACATGGGAGGAACAAGGATGGGGAGAACAGTGAGCATGTGTTTAAGATACTAGGGGAGAGGATCTGGTGAAAATTTTGATCTTAGACAAGCGCCTAGGTAAAGAAATAATGGGACAAGATTTCTAAACCCCACTATGTGCTTAAGAGTCATCCTCGCCATTGGTGCTGTCTCTGTCATCCTCTCCTTCCTCAGCCTCTTTTTCACCATCCTTGATCAACTCCAGCTGATCATCCCCCCAATCTTCATTATCATAATCATCCAGTAGGTCCCCCTCCTCAGCAGAGTCATCTGCACCCCCCTCAGACTCCATCTTCACATTAGTCTCATCTTTCTTCAGGGAGCTGCTGCTCTGCTCCTCTTCTGACTTATCATTCTTCATCTCTACTCCTTGTTTGCTCTGTTCCTTTTCCATTTTTTCCAGGCTTTCCAGTAGAGAATCCACTTTTTGTTTTATCTGGGTCAATTCCTTCTTAATGGCCTGAAGATCATGTCCTTTCAATCTTCCAGACTTGGAAGAAGATCTTCGCTGTCCACTCTTAGAATTGAAGCCACTTTTGCCCCTTTGTGAGGTGTTTCCTGATACACACTGTCATTTCGAGGGCACTACAGCCCGAGCAATAGGAGGAGGAGGAGGAACACGTGCTGGGTAACTGTACATCCTGTCATAATAATCCCGCTGAAAGTCATAGTCCAAGTCAAAAGAGGAGCTGAGTAGAGGGGACGGAGAAGGGTGTTCTGGTACTGACCCGTACATCTCCGCTGCAGATCGTTTCATACCTGCTTTTCCTCGGTTCACTTTTGGCTCTGCAGCTAGATTAATATCTAAAACCTGTCCAGCAATCATTCTGCCATCCTCTCCGGCCACCTGGGCATTTCTCTCATTAACATATTGAACAAAGGCAAAGCCCTCATGAACGGAGCAACCCACAATTTTGCCATATTTTGAGAAGATAGCCTGCACATCAGATTTTTTGACCACAAGAGTGTTGAGATTCCCAATGAATACACGGGAGTTCATGAAGCGAGGATCTGTCTTGTTGGTAACATTGCTGGCCATTGTCTTTGATGATAAGCTTCCTCACAAAGCTGAAACATCACCCAGGAAGGGTGTGCATCTGTTCCGAAGGCCCCCCTGGCTACAGGTCATCCTGGCTGCTGCTGCTCCAGGCTGGGCATCCATGTTGCTGCAGCTTGTGGTTTGTGAAGGGGTAGTGTACAGGAAAATCAGGATGGGATTTCAAGGGAAACAGGAGGAAGATGGCTTTCTGGGAAAATGCCATCACCTTCATAGGTGTTAAGTAGTACCACACACATTTTATTGAAGCACAGTTTAAAAATTTAACAAATGAAAGATTAAAAATAAAAAAAACAAAAAATAAAAAAAATAAAAAATACAGACGTCCAGAGATGCTCTAAAACAGTTAAGTTAAAGATCAGGAAAAATAAGATCACAGACTTAAACAGCCAGTAAAATTCTTTCCAGCGTTGAGGAAGGGGATGAGGGCAAGGGTGGGGTTGGGAGAGAAAAGGTTTACGTGATCAATCCACTTAAAAATGCTAATGCCGTCACTTTCTCTCCCAAGATGCAAAACTCCGAAGTCATTTAGGAGGCCAGAGAAATTCTTATGAACATTCAGAAAAGCTGGATTTTAATCAGGTTAAAAATCATCAGTCATTATCATCACCATCATCACCATCCTAAGTATAATAATAATAAATAATAGTAACTAGTAACAACAATAAAAAGGAAATCAGCGGAAAGTCAGGAAAAATGTTAAAAAAAATTGGAATAACTTACTATAGCTGAAGATCAAAAAAATCTCACTGTAAAAAAACGAAAATAAAAATAGCCCAGATTAGAAAAACGGGAGGTGCGAAAATGTCAAGTCAGTAAAGTTCATTTCTTTTCTCTTTCCAAAAGCAGTTTCCACAAAAACCGCAAGGGTGAAGTTCTCAGTAGCAGACAAGCAAAGCCCTTTCCACATCATCAATCAATCTTAAAAATACACGAGGAAGTAGAGAGGTCAGTTTATGAGAGGCTAAAAGACTCCTCCTCTAACCCAACTGCTGCAGAAAAATAGAAATAGAAATTTTAAAAATTACATCTTAAATCCAAGTCCCGTTTTTTGGAAACAATTAAAAAAAAACACCTGTAAATTTGCCGTCGTGCACACCAAGTTGCATCATAATGCTTAAAATGGATTTTTGTCTTTTTTAATAAAATCAGTTTGGAATGGGAATGTGTGTGTTCTGGAAGGGTGGGATAGGGAGGTTAAAAATCAAAGCTGAGCTCCAGTGAGTAGGGATGGGGTTTGCCTTGCTGCTCTCAAGCAAAGTTCCACTAACTTATGTTTCAAGTGATTTGTAACCCAGAGGGAGAAGGGAGAAGAGATTCGATTCTGAATCTCCTACTCCCGGGTACTACGTGGAGTAGACGTTTGCTCATGGAGGTCAGAAATGCGGCCACCTGTATTTTCTTTTAGTAACATATAATACCAATTATTGTCAGATTTCTTAATTTTCCCCATCTGATTGATATAAAATAGTGTCTCATTTTCATTTTAGTTTTAACTTGCATTTCTCTGTTTACCAAATAAGTTTATGTATCTAGTTAGCATTTATGTTGCCTCCTTTCTGAAAATCCTTGTGATGGCTTTTAACTTTTGTTTCTGGGTTGGTACCCCCACCCTCCCTTAGAGGCAATCTTTACATACATTAATATTTTTTCAGGTACATGTTTCAATATCTTCATAAAACTCATAAAATTCTTTTATAGTGTGTCTTTTTAGTCCTTTTTTAGTGTACTTTGGACAAAAGATTCATTTTAATGTAGTTAAATTTATCATTCTTTTATAGTTAATGCTTCTTACGCCTTAAGAGATCCTTTCCTACTTGAGTGTTACAAAAATAGCCTCTGATATGTTCTTCTAAAAGCTTTATGGTTTTCTTTTCACACATAAACAATTTAATCTATCTAGAACTGATTTATTTGTTTTTTTTTATGCTGTGATATAAAGATTACATTTCTTTTTACTCCCTATTAGGATAGCACAATTTATTGAATAATCTCTTCTTCCATCATCTGCAGTGCTACCATTCATATCATATATCCCTCCATTCTTCTCCATTGCTTTGTTTGCTTATCTACAGGATGTCTTTCACTGAAATTTCCTAATTTTCTCTGTAAAGATAATTCACAAATTTCTCTTGTACAGCTTTGTTAGACATTTTTGTTGTTATAATTAGGTTTTATGTTTGTGGTTGATTTGGATAATTATTTTGTAGTTTTGATCTTATATCCACCTTTTTTTGCTAAACTCTTTAATCATATATATGAAGATGCCTGCTTCATTACTTTCTAGTCCTTTAATATTTTATCTTCATATATTCTTTATATTTCTACATGTATTCACCATACTTGTTTTCATTTTGACTTAATCTATCATTTTGGAAGAAATATTGTCAAGTCTTCTGATATGATGATAAACTTTTTGATCTTTTTTCAAAAATCATTTTTGTTTTAGTTTTTTTAATGTTATTTTGCTAGCTGTATAAATGTTCATTGATTTTATATTTTATTGTGGTGTAAATATTTTAATAATCTATGAATATTCATTTACATCAAATATTGCATTTAAATTTATATCCTATTTAATACTTTTCACCTTGAGTGATATATGTTTCTGTCCTCTTTTGTTTTTTTAATTATATATTACTGACTATGCTATTATGGTTGTCCTGATTTTTCCCCCTTTGCTCCCACCTCCACCTAGCACACCCACTCCCTCAGGAGATTCCCACCATTGTTCATGTTCATGTGTCATGCATATGTGTCCTTTGGCTACTCCATTCCCTATACCATACTTTACATCCCCATGGCTATTCTGTAGCTACCTACTTGTACTTCTTAATCCCCTCACCTCTTCACCCATTCCCCCACACACACCTCCCATTGGGCAACCATCAAAACACTCTCTGCAGCCATGATTCTGTCTCTTTTTGTTTGTTTGTTTGTTTGTTTGGTTGTTCTGAGTTTGTTTTTTAGGTTCAGTCGCTGATAGATTTGTATTTTTTTTTTTTTTGCCATTTTGTTGTTCATAGTTTTGATTTTCTTTTTATTAGGTAAGTCCCTTTAACATTTCATATAATAATGGTTTGGTAATGATGAACTCCTTTTGTTTTTTCTTGTCTGGGAAGCTCTGTATCTGCCCTTTCACTCTAAATAATAGTTTTGCTGAGTAGAGCAATCTTATCTGTAAGTCCCTGCTTTTCATGACCTTGAATATTTCTTGACAATCTCTTCTAGCCTGCAAAGTTTTTTTGAGAAATCAGAGGACAGCTTTATGGGAACTCCCCTGTAGGTAACTAACTTGTTTTCTCTTGCTGCTTTTAAAGATTCTCTCCTTATCTTTAACTTTTGGCATTTTAATTATGATATGTTTTAGAGTGTGCCTCTTTTCATCCATCTTATTTGGAACTCTGTGCTTTCTGGATGTGCATATCTATTTCCTTCACCAAATTATGAAAGTTTTCTTCACCAAAACAAATAGATTTCCAATTTCTTGCTCTTTCTTTTTTCCTTCTGGCTCCCTTATGATGTGAACATTAGACCTCTTGAAGTTGTCCCTATACAGAGGCTGCTTATAGTATTCTCATTTGTGGGGGGGGGGAACGTTCTTTTTTCTTATCATTCTAACTGGTTATTTTTTAGTTCCTTATGTTCCATATTATTGATTTAATTCTTGACTTCCTCCACTTTACTATTGTTTCCCTGTAAACTGTTCTTATTTTTCTGACTGGATCTTTTTTTATGCTGTTCAGGTCCTCACTAAGTTCCTTGAGCACCCTTATAACCAGTGTTTTCAACTCTGTATCTATAGATTGCTTATCTCCATTTTGTTTAGCTCTTTTTTCTGGAGTTTTGATCTGTTCTTTCATTTGAGCCATGCTTCTTTGTCTCCTTGTTTTGGCACCCTCCCTGTGTTTGTTTCGATGTATTAGGTGGAGTTGCTTTGACTCTTTGTCTTGGTAGTGTGGCCTAATATAGTAGGTATCCTGTATGATCCTGTGGCACATCCTCCCCTATGTCCCAAGCTGGGTACTCAGGATGCACCCTTTGAGTAGGCTGAGTATGCACTCTTCTTTAAGTTGAGTTTTGGTTGCTATTGGCAGACCAATGGGAGGGATTTACCCAGGCTACTTAGCTGCAAGGATTGACTGTATCGACTTACCACCAACTTCTTCCCTCTGTGGAGGATCAGCTGTGCAGGCGCATGGTGATGGTGCTCTGACACCTGTAGCTGTCCATTGATTGTACTGGCCCTGGGGTTTCCTGGGTGGTGCAGCCCAAGGTCAGCTCCAACCTGTGTTTTGCCTGGAACCACCTTGCCTAAACTATAATGTAATCTGAGATGGCTGCTACTTGTGCTAGGCTTGGAGATTCCTAGGCAAAGCCAAATTGTGGATCTAGGATGGTTGCTGCTAGTGCCAGGACTGGGGTTCACTGAGGCCAGCTGTTGCTTATTTGAGAGGATTTAGAAAGTTGTGAAGCATGAGCCAAGACCAAACAATCACATGGAAAAGCAGCTTGGGTGGGCCCATAAGTGGGTGGGACAGATCTCTGGGGATCTCCAAGGCAGATCAAACAGTGTTAGCTGGCTTTATGGGGTCTCAGAGATGGCACCAGCTTGCCAGCTCTGTCAGGGGAGGGTATAGAAACGGGACAAAGGTCTGCTTGCCTTGAAGCCAGACACTTCATTTTCTCCCCTTATACCATTGGTGCCTTTCAACATGCTATCCTGGTGTTGGAGCTCAGAGGGATTGAGTCTGAGTAGGTGAGTACATGCGTGGATTCTTTAAGAGGAACTGCTTGAGACCCCAGAAGTTTCTTCTATTGCCTCAATCCCCACTGACTTAGCTCTTTGCAGTCAGAAGTTGTGGGGACCTATCACGCTGGGCCGAGGGGCCTGGTGTGGGGCTAAGACTCCTTGCTCCCAATATATCCCTCCTGAATATTTATTTACCACACATGGGTGAGGGACCAGCTGGTTCCACTTCTGTGCCCCTCCTACCAGCCTGGATAGATGTGGCTTCTTTAATTCTGCAGTTGTCAAGACTGCAACTTGTCCATTCAACTTGATTTCTGACGGTTCTGAGTGATGGTTGTTCTACATTTTAGTTGTAATTTTGATGTGGTTGTGCAAAGATGTGAGCCACATCTGCCTATACCAGTATCTTGACCAGAAGACCTATCCTCTTATTTTGAAATTTTCTCTGTCATTTGTTTTGTTGCATCTGTTGGGTGTTATTTTATTATTTTTGAACTTATCTGACAGTCTGTTGTGTGGGGGGGCTCTGCCCAC